TCTCGTTCTATTTTTCATTTTCTCGTTCTATTTTTCACTTCGTCGATCGTTCTCCTGTTTGAATTATATATATACCACATCACTAGATCTCGCAAGATCTCGCAACAACAACAACTGGTATCAGAGCATGGTTTCGGATCTGAGGAAGAATGATGTCTGCAGATGAAGTGAAGGTTTCAAGGATTGAGAAGTTTGATGGCACAGTTTTTGGTTATTGGAGAATGCAGATAAATGATTATTTTTATGGGAAAAAACTTCATCTTCTGTTATTCGGAAAAATACCTGAAAGAATGGATGAGGCTGAATGAAACTTGTTGGATCGATAAGCTCTGGGGGTTATTCGATTGACCCTATCGAGGTCCGCTGCACACATCCTCGTCAAGGAAAGGATGACCGCAAATCTCATGGCAGACTTATCAGGTATGTATGAAAAGCCATTGATGAATAACAAGGTGCACTTAATGAAGAAGTTATTCAATTTAAAGATGACGGAAGGTGTTTTTGTTGCTCAACACCTGAATGTTTTTCAATATTATCACAAATCAATTGTCATCTGTGAAAATTAATTTTGATGATGAGATATGTGCACTGATCTTGTTGGCTTCATTGTCAGATAGTTGGGAAGTCATGAGGATAGCAGTTAGCAGCTCTGCATGTAAATCTAAACTGAAATACGATGATATTCGTGATTTGATTTTGACTGAGGAAGTTCACAGAAAAGATTCTGGGGAGGTCTCATGTTCGAGTTTGACACTTAATGTTGATTTCAGGGGGAGATGGCATGACAAAAACTCAAGTATAGGGAGATCAAAATCAAAGTTTAATAAGCAGGCAACCTGTTGGAATACCTTAGGTCAAGTTTGAGGTCAAGTTTGGGATAAGTGCCTACAGGGAGACATACCTCTTATCAATGGACGTCTAGGTTGTAGTTTAGAGGGAGGAGGTCAAATTTCAGTTGCAATTCGACTTTGTTTTGTGAAGTTCTTTCATTGGAATTCGACAGAACATAAAAGGACGCAATGAACAAGAAGCGATGAATCATTCAATTTTGCTTGGGTTGGTACGCTCTCTTGCCAAAGATTATGCTGTGCTTTTGGTCTAGTCATTCTAATCAATCGATGTCTCACTCATGTCCATAGAACGAGCTCCGCTAAGCAACTAGCTGCCTTCTTTCCTAAGTCTGTAGCTCAAGATTACCTTAGCCTTGACTTAGCTAGCGCTATTTTGAGCAAGCAAGTGAGTGACACGCTCTTTCTCTCTTTGGTTTTTCCGTTGTTTTTTCCGAAAAGTCTTTGTTTTCTTCCTCTGTAGCATCTCTATCATCTTGATGAAAGAGCTCCATCTATGCAAGAGACTACTTTGCAAATTCATCCTCACCTACTTTCCCATGGTTTTTGACCTGAAGCAAGACTCTAAAGAAAGCATGAAAAAAAGGCGCGAAGCGTTTCACTGGCGTGGCAAGACTGACCACATAAAGAAGAACTGTAAGAATCCTAAGAAGATGGAGAATGATAATGCAAATATGATATATGAAGAATCACAGGATGTACTATTGTTGACAGTTCATAGTTTTGTTGAAGACTTGATATTGGATTCAGAAACATTGAATGTGGTAATAAATCTACCAGAGACCACAATACTTGAGTTATTGAGTGTTGAAAACTCCAGTCTTTTGGAGTTGAAATGTGCGAGTAATGAAGTTTTGGGGTGAGGAGCATACGTGCAATTTTGGGAATTACATATTTACCAAATCTCGCAACTTCAATTACAACTTATTTTGCTCAAATGGTTCTTTCACTACAAACGAGTGCTTTTCATTACATGATTGATTTGAAAGATTGAGGGCACTATAAGAGGTAGAGGGTAGGTTTGTAATTATTTTAAATTATAAATTTATCATTTCCCATAAACAACCCTTAAGTATCAGTTATTTTGATGATTTATTTTATATTCTGATGATTAATTAAAGGGTTTGTTTGAGATCATATGAGTTTCAAAGTTTGTTTCAATCAATTTAAAGAAGAGGGCAATGAATGTAAATTTTGAGATTTACAAATATACATTTAAGCCACATAACCATTGAATTAAACCCATAATCACCAAGACTTTAATGTCAATGAGTTATTATACATACTTTGATGCTTTGGACTAAATAACATTAATTAATTTTAAAAAGTAATTAATTAGTAATTAAATAATGATTAATCACGAATTTTATAAAAGAAATTACAAATATCCACCAATTTTCTGGATTTTTTATTCATTTTTATTTGATTTAATTATACTTCAAATTAATTATTTAATTGAGCTAATTATGATTGAAATTAATGCTATATTTTTATTCCATTCTGAATCCACGACAGTTTTTTATTTTATTTATTTTATTTTTTATTGAATTTCGGTGGATTTTTAAGCTTTCAATAATTTTTTGAAAAGAAATAAATGATTTAATAGGAATTTCCACACGAAAGTCACACAACACCACGGGATTTGCCACATAACCACGAAAAAAATTTGCGTATGTAAGACGTACGCAGCGCTGCGGACGTCTTGGAGATTATAAAGAGTGTATAAGGGGGTTATATACGCGTTATACCCTCTTGTAACCTCCATGTAACCTTCTGTAACTTACCTGCAACCTACAAATAAATTCTTAATATATAAAAATAGAAACATGTAACGTATTTGTAAGTTGCAGGTAGATTACAGAAGGTTATATGGAGGTTACAAGGGGTATAACGCGGATATAACTTCTTTATATCCTTTGTATAACCTCCAAAACATATGCAGCGCTGCGTACGTCTTACGCATGCAATTTTTTTCCCATAACCACGGAATATTCTTCTATGATAGAGCAAACGAATGACAATCATTTGTATGCACTTTCTATACACGGGCGGTAGGGCTGATCGTCATCCGTATGAATCAGAACTATCCATTTCCAAACAACGTTCGTCATCTGGATGAATCAAAGCCATCCGTTTCCAAAACAAACGACAAAGGATCCAAAGTCCAAAGTAAAAAAAAAATTACACGACCCAAATCCATCATCCAGGAATTCGTAACATATCTGCTTGCAAACTTGCCCTGTTATTAGTTTTCTATGTCTAAAATAAACATTGTGGCCATTTATTTTTGTTAAAATTGTGATTTGCAATAATTATTTTATGATTTAAGTTGAGATAGATGTATTAAAGTATGTATTCTCAAGAAATATGGGTTCAAGGGCTTCTTCTTTTGTTTTTAGAGTTGTGTATTGTAACTATAGCTTGCAATGACGTCCGTCTTCGTCATACCTGCAAGCTAATTATGGGAGGAATATTTATACATATCTTGGAAGTAGATCAATAGATGATTGCGAGTATGAGGAGTCCATTTTAGATAGCGAGCAGGTGTGGAAGTAGTTTTAGAGAAAAAATTCTACTAGAGACTTGATCTTTTGGACACCAATAGTAATATAATGATAATATTGCTCGTTATTACTATAATTTTATTTTTTGTGTTATTTATTATTAAGTCATGTGTATCTTTTGATAGAGCTTTCATGTTTTTTGATTTGAAACCGTGATCTAACATCTAACTTACAACTAGCACATATGTACAAGAGAAATACAATATTTTTTCCTCAAAATCAGTTACAACCCAACACCTTCACAACCGAACATCCAAACAGACATATTGCTTCATCAACAACTTACTCGCAAAAGCTTCCCCTAAAACAACTTCATAGTTGCTTCTTCAAATAGAAATAACTGCACCAAATAAACCCTTAATGAAATTTTTACAACAGCTTTGTAAGTTAAACTTTTTGAATTACTAGAGCAAAATAATATATTAAAACCACAACTGTTATATGTTTACCTCTCTATCATCTAAAATTTGATATCTATATTTCTAACAATTTCTTATTATAAATTTATGCATGTAAAGTTACATTTCATGTTTAAAAAATTAGCAATAATAAAATTTTTCATATTATTTTAAAAATTCGAGTGTTAGGCATATAAATTTAAAAGTTTAAGTTAGACATGTAAATACATAAAATTATGTGACAAATGTAAATGCCACTGGGAGAAAATATTAGTGTGGTTAACCGGCCGTGCGGACAACATTACAGACGCCATTACTGATCGCAACACATTGTGTACACAGCTACGCAATACGATCACGCCATCGTCAGCACGTCCCGACGATGGACTTGATATTTTCTCCTATTCTAGAGCTTCATTTTCTTAATTGACGAGACATAACAAGCTGTCCGAGGAAATTTCAGAACTGAGATTGCAGGAATCAAAATCATAACAGCAACTAACAAAAACTGCAAGGACAATTGCTGAGAAATACAATTTCTTGTTGTAATAGGACTGATCCGCATAAATCCTCTTCAAACTAGCTTTACGAACACAACAATGCCTAATTTCAAACCTTAGGAGGAAATGCTCCATGCTTACATCATAATAAGAATAATTAAAACACATTGTGTCATTACACTCAGTAATAGTTTTGGTCGACATTCAGTAAGATATGTTTGCTGCTGGTCCAAAGTTCCCCCCAATCATTAAGTTGGGTTTGATGTGGCTGAAAATAAGCAAAAATATCAACACATTTTATTCAAAAAAAGCTTTTCAGAACAAAATACTGAATTGAATGAATTAAAGTGCTGTGGCAGCCAGATGGGCAGCTAGCGAAAAAATATATTAGGGAGATTTACATACATGACAAACCAAATTCTTATATATTTACATATCTAATACAAAAACTTTATTTTTACATTTACACCACCCAAATATCACTGTTTTAACATTTAAAAAGTGAAATACACATTTTTTATGCAGAGATAAGGTGGCATGTACCTAAAAATTGAAGTCTAGGTGTTAGATATGTAAATATATAACAAGTGTATGTATTTACATATCTAACACTTAAAACTTTTACTTTTATATTTATAACACTCAAATCTTTTATATCATATGAAAAATGCAACTAATATCATTTTTATAAAAGTGAAATATACATTCTCTATAAAAATCAAAATTTAGGTGTTAGATGTGTAAATACTTATAAATTATGTGGTATGCATGAGTATAGTCTGAAGCAGCCTAGATGGGCCAACAAGGGGAGGATTCAACAGTGTTTTATGGGCCTTTTCGCCCATCAGAGGACCCAAACAACAAAAGGATGGACAAAGTAGTAATATGGTCCATGAGGATAGGCTTGAACAAATAGCAGCCCTCCAAATGGTTAAGTACAAGTGGTCGAGTGTCAGTTGTTGAATGAAGATGTCTAAGTAGAAGAAATCCAAATGCAAGAGGATGCTCGATGAAAGGCCATCTTGCAGGGCTAGCGATAGGAACGAGAAAAAAATTTCCCCAAGAATTAGGGCAAAATAAAATATTTTACTCTACTGGTACAAAAAATAATAAAACTCAAATACATAAAAGATAGACTTATAATTTGAGGGGTAGTTGATTCTCTCCCAACCTACTATTTGAGAGATGAGCAATATCTCCCCAAACACTAATCCTAATTTTCCAGACAACAAGCACATAGCATGTCATAACCCTAAACTATTAAATCATATTTATACCCCATAATATTAACTAACAAAATTCTAAATTGCCCTTTTATCTTTGCACCTAAAATAAGTTTTCAAATTATTTGGCGGGGCTTGGCACGACAAAAAAAAAATGTGTAGTTTTAACAATACTCCACTCCCAATAAGGCATCATATCCTCAAGGTGGAAAAAAAAAAATTATTTTTGGATCAAATTGGATGGCTACCAGGTGGCATCATAATCTGACAATCATTTTCATTAACCATAAATTCACAGTCACCCTCCTGAGTTCGAAATAAAATCTTGTGAATATTCATCATCTGCATCCAAATCTGATGGTATCCTGACTTCAAGTCGAACTTGAAGAATACCGCAGTCCCAAATAACTTGTTTCAGTATCTCATTGATCACCGGGATGAGAAATTTGTCAGGTACTAGTTCATTATTCACTACCCAATAATCCACATTGAAACACCAACTCCCACCCTTCTTCTTCACTAGCAAGATTGGACTAGAGAAAGGGCTCACACTAGGTTCTATGATCAAACCTCCAACATACCTCAGATCGATCTCTTGATCTTGTACATTTGTATCTGGGGGTAGTGGTATGGGCTCACACTGATGGGAGAAACCCCTAATATCAAAATTATTGTATGCTCATGTTCCTCCAAGGCAGCAATCCTCATGGCAAAAGAAAAACTTCTGCCCATTGTTGTACGGTTGATCGATGTTGGAATCTCTATCAACTCTGTATCAGGTGTCTCTTCCCTTCTTTCATAAGTCTAGCTCACGCATAATCAAGTCGCCTGTCCCCATATACTCTTGAATCGATGTCCACTCAAAAGGTTGTCGCGGCAAAAGACACTGTTGTAGTTGGTGCAGCCCTCTGTCAGGGTCCCATCCCCCTATGGTTCCTTGTTCCAGCCCAAAATCCTTCGAATCAATCTTTTCTAGCCCTGTATAGCACGCATCTTGTTTTGCATGTTGTCGCTCATTCCAAACATCTGGATGCCATGTAATTCTTTCTAGATGATGCCACTCAACCCCTTAGCTCGATCTTGTTTGCTTCTGTTTGTTCTAGTCGTCCAAATGCAGCACTATTCCTTCCAATTGTTGTCGCTCGAGTTCACTTCAGATTCAATCACTCGATTCCATGACTCTAGCTCTGCTTACAATAGCACTCCTGCTCTGATGTAGCACAAATCCTAAGATTGCAGCCGGTCACATCGGCTCCAGATGTCATCACTTGATCATGTGATGGGCAAAGGCGAATTTGCGTGAAACTCCACGATCTTCATCATTTCTTCGAGGGTCGTCAATCTTCCCTCGAATCACCCCTCCATGGACGAGAAACACTCCTAAATTTTTTTTATGTGAGTCACCTCTTCCTCTGATTTCTTCTTCATAGCATCTTTTTTTTTTTGCTAACACTACTCTCTGGACTGTTTTCAATCACGAAGGCGAAATTCAAGTGCATTGAGATCCCACCGTTAGCATTCCAAGTAGCCTGAATCACGGCTGTATCGGAAGTTTTCAAATCGCGAGGCTGTTTGGGCTTCCGAACTAGCTTGAATCGTGATAGGAACAACAAAATCCCAACGTTGGCATCCCAGATCGTGAGGTTCGATCGCTAGGGCACACTTGATTCCGTTGTTAGATTCTCAAATCATGACTAGGGCGTGCCTGATCCCATCATTGGCTTCTCTAATCTTGAACCAGTACGTGATCCTGTCTTCAGCTTCCCATCTAGCTCTTATCGAGACATTATTGAGATTTTGCCTTTGACCGACGTGATTGTATCGCGATCTAGTAGTTTATTTTTAGATATTGATTGCTCTCACAACACTTGATAGGAACTAGAAACAAATTTCCCCAATAATTAGGGCAAAACAAATACTTAACTTCATCAATACAAACAACAAAACTCAAATAAATAAAAGATAAACATATAATTCGAGAGATAAGCAATTCTCTCCCAACCTACTATCTGAGAAGTAAGTGATCTCTCCCCAAACCCTAATCATAAACTTCAAGACAACAATTAAATGGCATATCATAATCCTGATCAATTAAAATATATTTATACCCTACAATAATAACTAACAAAAGGCTAAATTGTTATTCTAACATTGCGCCTAAAATAGGTCTTCAAATTATTTGGCAGACTCAACGCAGCGGAAAATATTAGGTGTCGGTATGACAACCACTCGATGACTTTGTCACCTTACTAAGTAACTTGTCTCGCAATTCCAAATGATTTGCAAGGTTGCAACCTGCTAGTACCCGCAAAGCCATTCCTCAAGGAGAAAATATTGACTAGACATCAGGCGTAACTTGACAAAAGTAAACTAAGGTGTAAGTGCCAAAGATAATATAAAATAAACATCTGAGACACTAAAAGTACAAATTCCAATAATCAAAAATACCAAAGAACTTGAGTATAATTATTAATCATGTGTATTTTTATTAGAAAATGACCATACAGTAAGGGGATTAGTTAATGTAAAAGGATGTCTTTTTTTTCCAATTGAAAATAGATTTTGTGATTTAAACGATGCATCTCTTCTCTCACTTTTCTCTACCTCTTCTCTCCTTGGGTGTAATTCCGCACACTAAACAAGATTCAACAACATGTAAATCTTCCTCATTAATATATATATATATATATATATATATAACATGTAAATCTCTCTCTCAAATATATATATATATATATATATATATATATAATTAAAAGGAATGACTATTAGACGAACCCTGATCATCCCTATGTGTGCTAAATATTCAAGTACCACACCCTACCCCTAGAAGAAATTGAGCTCATAACCTGAGAGAACTTATGATCTTTAGAGAGACTAATCTCCCAATATATATAAATGGATGCAAGTCAACTTAACTTATTGCTTAAGAATTTAGTCTTTCAACCAAGAGATCTTGGGTTCAAGGCCTTTTATATACGATGTGTGTGTATTCACGATTAAATTTGCAAAAATTTTCAAAAAAAAAAAAAACAATTAAATTGACCAAGATGAAGCCACCCATGAGCAAAACTGCAACAAAGCACAGAATCCTAAATATTGGTCTGCTGCTCGTCAGCCTAAATTTAATTCTGAATCAGAAAATACCAAGCTTGGCCTGAAAACTGAAAAAAACGCATGAGGAAAAAGGTCCTAAAAAACAGAATAAAACAATTTTAAGCTCTCTTTTTTATAAATTACCAAATTCACCTGCTGTAGAGTTCGGTGGCCCACCGAGTCCCAACGTAGCATATAAACAAGAGGAGCAGGATGGAGAATATGTCTAGTTCGAGTTAAGACATCTTATGCCTAAAAAAACCTTAAATTTTCCTATTTTTCAAGAGAAAAAAAAAACAGATTTCTAAAACCAAGTTGGATGTAAATTATCTAGAAATTTTAAAAAAACAAGGTTATAAAGGCATTACAGCAAGATGTCGCCCTAATTTAAGAGAAAGAGATACATAGAGAAAGAAAGAGGATACTGAATAGGTATCTCTCCCACGGATCGAGGCCGTAGAGCCCAATGGTGACGTTGTAAAGGTAGATCTTCCGGCTCACAAAATTCATCCTTCCCTTCTTTTCAGAACCTCTCGATTGATTAGTCCATATGGAGAGAGTGTTGCAGGCAGACAAGTTTTGGAGGAGAGGACGACTGCGATTATATAGAGTGACGGAGAAAGAAAAATAAGGTAGGATCGTATGCAGGAAGAATACCATGAACTCCTAACGCCTGCAACTTGGTATTTTCAACTAGTATCTGGTCAGAGAAGGACGGCATTAATAAATCGGAGCGAATCAAGTCGTAGAAAAAAAATAAGAAGAAAAGACGGCTAACCAAACAGCAGAATGCAACAGAAATTTGATCCAAGGCAAGACGAATCTTATTATTAATATAATTATTGATAGTTTGCCAAATAAATTATCCAATTTCATTAAAAGTGATGTGATTGAGATCAAACAAAGTCAAACCAACCATTTAAAATATGGTTGAGATTTTTTTTGGACATCTATTCGATAACTAAATGACTTGGAATCTTATATGCCTATTCTAAAAAATGAGTGCCGCTATTAGACAAATCTAATAAGCTTGTTGCGTGTTGGAAATTCATGTATGTAGAGTTACATTAACGTCTTAGCATTATGCTAAAATCAAGCACATATATAGATAGAAGAAGAGCTCAAGAAAGGACACGAGATTTTTACATGAAAAACTTGAAAAGTGAAAAAAAAAAAACACCGGTCTACCCCAATTAAAATGATTACAATATTAGTATGTAAGCTATAAGGTTTTGTCTATCGTTGAATAGTAGAAAATAGTATTATAACAATAGGAGAATTTGACTTAACTTTCATTAGTGGAGCCATAGAAAATGTTAGGGAAGTGAAAAGGACCCGGCTGAAATAATGGAAGATCGACGACAGGGGCTGTGTGATGGCGATCTTGATTCATCGTCACTGATGGTGGTGGCCACGTGTTGGCGGTGGTGGTGAATATTGGTGATTGCAACATTTTTGTTCGCGCGTCGGTGATTCGTCAATGATGACAATGACAAAGCAGGTTCAGAGTGGCAGCAACTGCGATGACCAGAAGATGATGATCCGACGACAGCGATGGTGTGCCACAATAACGGTGGCAACCGAGCGATGGTAACTCGACATAGTGATTGTCGGGAGATGATGACTTTGCAATGATGATAGATTCTAGTTATGGCGGGCGGACAAAGGTCGAGGCACATCGTCGGTCCAGGGTCGGTGATCCAGTGGCTACAGTACCTTGACAATGTTGGTCCGACATGGTGATGATGTCCCAGAGATGGTGGTTTGAAGGTGACGACAAATGACCAGCGATGGCGCTCTGACATGGTGGTGGAGGCTCAACATCAAGGATCTAGCACGATGATGGTGGTTCAACGTTGGCTCGGTGACGGTAGCCAACGACGGTGATCCGACAATGGTGATCTGACGACTATAAAAGGAACCCAGTGATAGTGGAGGCAATTGCTCAGAGTCGATGGAGGTCAGGTTGCAATGGTTTGAAGGCTACAATGTCATTATGGTGGTAGCGACGGTGATGGCCAATTAGTGGTAGTCCGAAGATGGTGGCGACACGATGACCATGGTCCGACGGCAACGATGGTTCGAGGATGGTGGCCTAATGGTTGTGGTTCTGGTGATGGCTAGATGGTTGTAGTTCGACGATGAAAACAATAGTGACCGGGGAACAATAGTTCGGCGATGGATGCGGCCCAATGGATATGGTGGCGGTCTTAAGGTGATGGTGACAACCCGACGGCGGTGGTTTTGCAGCAACTACGATGGTGCCCAGACAGAGGTGGTCCAACGGTGACTGCAGCCCAACGACAGTGGCCTGGAGGTGATGATGGTAGTGGATGGTAACAGTAGTCTGGCAATGGTGGCATCCCAACAGTTGTGATTTGATAGCGACAATGGTGGTAGCCATTTAGCGATGGGTCGAAGGTGGCAGTGTTCAGAAGACAGTGGCCGATGTCGGCGGCAATGGTGGCTGGGCAACAGTGGCTCAACTTCGAGGACGGTGGTGCAATGGCAACAAAGGTATGGTGGCCTGGTAGCGGCACATCCCCCAATGCCCCCACAGTAGCTCCACCCGTGCTATTGAGCTATGTTACTCTTGTTTTATCCACGAGTTATTTCAAAAAAAGGTAAGATTTAGGTTGAGTAGAGACTATGAGTTACTATTAAGAGCTCATCTTTATATATGTTGATATTTCATATTAAATTTTTTTTTATAGTCATAATAATATACCTATTTTATTTATAGAAAATTATAATATGAATGGTGGTACTGGTAGATGGTTCGAGGATGGTGGCCTAATGGTTGTGGTTCTGGTGATGGCTAGATGGTTGTAGTTCGACGATGAAAACAATAGTGACCGGGGAACAATAGTTCGGCGATGGATGCGGCCCAATGGATATGGTGGCGGTCTTAAGGTGATGGTGACAACCCGACGGCGGTGGTTTTGCAGCAACTACGATGGTGCCCAGACAGAGGTGGTCCAGCGGTGACTGCAGCCCAACGACAGTGGCCTGGAGGTGATGATGGTAGTGGATGGTAACAGTAGTCTGGCAATGGTGGCATCCCAACAGTTGTGATTTGATAGCGACAATGGTGGTAGCCATTTAGCGATGGGTCGAAGGTGGCAGTGTTCAGAAGACAGTGGCCGATGTCGGCGGCAATGGTGGCTGGGCAACAGTGGCTCAACTTCGAGGACGGTGGTGCAATGGCAACAAAGGTATGGTGGCCTGGTAGCGGCACATCCCCCAATGCCCCCACAGTAGCTCCACCCGTGCTATTGAGCTATGTTACTCTTGTTTTATCCACGAGTTATTTCAAAAAAAGGTAAGATTTAGGTTGAGTAGAGACTATGAGTTACTATTAAGAGCTCATCTTTATATATGTTGATATTTCATATTAAATTTTTTTTTATAGTCATAATAATATACCTATTTTATTTATAGAAAATTATAATATGATTGTTATGTATATTATTTTTTTATTTTATAATTTATTATGAGATTTATATTAAATTTGACTTTTTATTTATTGATATTTTAATTATATCATATTATTAATAACTTTACGTTTGCAAAAAATGGAGAAACATAAAATTTCTTCTAAATATATATTAGAAACTAATCAATTGTTGTGACCTTCACACGAAGCAACCCTTCTTAATATGATTATTTGCATTAGGTCGGATAGTAACAACCAAAGTATTTTCTCAATATATTAAATAAGATAATAAAAAACACTAAAGTGAGACTTACAACTTAATGATATAAGCTCAAAAGGGCCCGAATTCTCTTTAGTGTGATACATGGGATACAAAGGATATGGAAGGTGTGAAAGCTATGAAGATGAGATTTTAACTTAATGACATGAGATCAACATATTTGAATATCTTCTCAATATGGTGAGAGAAGAAGAGATAACAAAAAATAATGATGTGACTTATAATTTGATCGTATGGGATCAAAAAAGTCCAAATATATTTTTAATTTGATAGAAATGACATAAAATAATAGAATAATAAGAGTGCAATTTGATCATGTGGGATGAAGCAAGTTCAAACATCTTATTAATATGGTTAAAAAATGTCAAAAATAAAACTTACAACTAGGTCGCGTGTGATCATGAAAGCCCAAGAGTTTGATTTACATGCTATATAGTTAAAAAACACCTACTAATTACTCACAAATTTAAAAAGTGGGCCCATAATGCTCTATGATATGAAAGGAAAGTGGCATATCTAACGAGTATGTGTTTATATTACTTTAATTTTAGTGATATTTGCTATGATAAGCCTAATTTATATGTAGAAATATAAGGTCATATTATGATATGAATTTGCTAAGATTTGATGGTTGATTGGGGCCTTATATTTAAAATTGAGGATGTTAAGTCAAATACCCAATTATTGGGTACGCTAGAATGCGACGAATGAGTGGAGCTACGTGTTACGTGTGAAACTAGGATGTGTATGAAGATGATCAAATTGGGAAAGCTCAAAGCCCATCTAAGTGTGTTTATAAAAATCAAGTTTAAGTGAACGTGTGAGACGAAGGCGAGGTCAACAACTCCCTTTATTAATCATATCATGCATTGCGTAGCTTTTAATTTGAACCATAAATCACACCCCAAGTGATAACTTTTAAGTTTTATCTTCAAAATAACATGGGAACATAGCTTGAATTACAAGGTAAAAATCATACATTCCTATTGACCTCATTTTTGAGGTCTTATTTTCCCTCTCCCTAAGGCCTAGGATCTAACCTTAGGATTTAATACTGATTATTCTAGAGGATAAGTACTGCGACCCGCACTATCTAGAAATTCGGGCCACTTCTTGACTTCTTGTAGTCTCATATGGGTGGTTTCAAATTCTAGACATTTTCAAGTCGATTAAAACCAACATATTAAAACTCAAGTCGAGTACCCATTGGAATTGAAAAAGTCATTAGGGGCGAGTGACTCATTGTCGAGAGCGGTCTGCTTGACTTTGGTCGTCGCTTGAGTAATGACTGATTGACATTCAGCTCGTTAAATGGATCCAATCGGACCAAATAAATTCATTCGCTCCTTCACGTGCGAATTGGCCTAATTCGACATGATCGTCGACGCACTTGTCTGGATGACCCCGAATAACGAAAAAGACCGTGCAAGTGCGTCCGGAACATCGAATTTTTAGCTAGAAGGGACGCCCATTTCGATATGATTTTGTGCATGAGCGAAAAATGCGCAAAGGGGGGAGGGGTTAAATATCAAACATTATAAAGTTAATAAAAAAAAGATTTTTTCTTCCTAAATCCATTAAGCACACCACCATCCCTCTCCTCCGATTCTTCTCCTTCAGCTCATGCGACACCCTAGCCACACCTCATCTTCCACGTGAGGGAGAGTTGACCTCCAGTTCGTCCTTGCCCGACATCCTCTGCCCGAGAACCTCCTTCCCGAAGCCACGCCTATCTCGATGGGCTGTGAACTTCCTTCTTTGGTAGGTTGACCCTTGTGAGCTTGTCTCCTCAAAGCATTCGGTTGGCAAAATTCTGCTTTCCAATGCCCCTACTCAGCTGAGTTCCTCTCATCCTTCTTCTTCAAAGGCCGAGAGACCCATTTTTGGATTCGGCACCACTACACAGTAAGCCCCCCATCTTCTTTTTTCTTGCTTCCCTTCCTTCTCGGCAGTGGTCGAACAAACCTAAGGAGCGAAATCTTTAGCAGGGTAATCCCTCTCCTTTCTCCTCTTCCATTTTTTTTGTTGTTCTAGTGTTACCT